CCTGCTGTCACCTTCCAGGTCAACAGACCAACTCACAGGCTGTAGGGCATTTTGTAGTCAGCATCTTGCACGGTTTTAGATATGCATAAGTGTTGTGTTAGGTTTGAAATGTACACTGAATTCACAAAGAGTCACTGTGAGGAACACAGATCTGGAGTTTTTAACAATAGCAATATAGAATTAAGAAGCCAAAGAGTGAGGAGACAATAGACCCTTTAACAATAAAACTTAACACTGGCACTGTTTGAGAGAGGACAGTTATAGTTGGGCCTCCCTTGTTCATGCCAGAGCCTACCCTCTAACCTCTGTCTGGCTTCTCACATACCCTTGAGAAATGCTAGCTGGTCACTCTTTCCACTTGACACTTAGAATTCAGTGGGTAACTATTTTTAGAAGAAAATTGCAAATAGATGAAATTTAAGCTGGTGGTGGGGGAAGTGAGAAATAAAGATGATATACGGTAAGCCACAAGAATAATTTAAATATGACACCAGCTGAGTCAGATGGACTCCGGATGGTTGATCTATGGAAACCATCTTAAAATGGAAGGAAGTCTGTGGATAAATAAATGAAGTTGTCATTTCTATATCATAGGAAGTTGAATATACTTATAATCATCTCTCTCAAGTTTCAATTATATCATATTCAAAGAGGAATTCAAATATCTATCATTTTGTCTCAAAGAAACTAAAGATTTAAAGCAACATAATAAGAAATTTCCCTATAGAGGCACACTACTACTAGTCATAGAACATCCCCCATATGACTTCCCCTGAGCAGAATCTCAGACCTCTGAGAAGGGGCTGGGTTCCAGATAACTTTTCTCATCTTCCCTTTTCACCACTTAGCGTTTTGTCCCAAATGGCCTACATCAGTTTACTCATCTTTCATCAGGGTAACCATAAAAAGGATTATAAGAAAAATGAAATAAATATGTAGGCATTAGCAGGCTCATATCGCAGGTAAGTGCTCAATCCATATTTGATAGAGTCTGAAGTCTCGAGAAGCATAGCTCTTAGCATATTGAAATAAAGATTTACCAATTCAGTGTTGGCTATTAACATAGTATGATCACCTTCAGAATATCCATCAGACTCTGACCCAAATCACCTAAGCCAGAATTCAGAGCAGAGGCGATCCAGCTGGTAGCACTCCCTTGAGCTCTCCCTGTGAGTCTGTGGATCATTCAAGCTACAAACCATTCAACCAGACAAGCAGCACTCAAACTCTAGTGCACTTGAAAATCACCAGGAGAATAGAAGCAGCCAATGCTTGAGCTCCATCCACAAAGATGATCATTGAATGGGTCTTGAGTGTAACTTGGTTGCCAGAAATATCAGAAGTTCCCCCAGTAAACACTGTCATCTACAACCAAGGTACAGAGCAGTTTGTTTAAAATGAGGTGTAAGATGACATGTAAATGCATGGGTCTCTATGGAGTGTAGAAAACATCTGATGGTTAGCATAAGGAGGTGCCCCATGGTACCAGCCTCCCTTCTTAGCATGAGAAGTAGCTCCACATCTGCACTGCTCACTCAGATAATTTGATTCTTGTTGAGCTTGCTTAGAGACAGCACTCTTTTCAGCTACAATTTTCATTCTTGTTTGCCTCTCTCTGGTCATTTGGGACAAATGGCTTCATAGAGCATCCAACATGTGGCCTATTTACATGCATCTAAATAGAACATTTGTCTTAAATTGTCCTTCAGGGTAAACAGAACAGAAATATCAATAAAATGCACAGCATAGGGCGATGGAAACTATTGTGGTCCTTGAGAAGTCCAGTACCACTGCTCTATTGGCCATCACACTGACCCCTTCTCCCCATACCCCCACTTTGAGCCTCTTTGACACAACTTTCTATTGATCTTACTGATAATCAACCAATAAAAGTAAATGCTTAGAAGGCTGGTGGCAACACAGACATATTTAATGAGCTCTGTAGAAAAGCACTTTGCTGACATTTTATGGGGATCTTTCTGAAAGGGAATGGGGCTGGTTATGGGTATTTGAAAATAAAGGAGAATAACATAGAATTCATGCTTAAATTGGCCATCAATTTTGGAAAGCCTTTTGTAAGTCCCTCTGGTACAAGAGCAGTGTGTGCCATTTCTTTGTCTCTGCCCCACTGGAAATGATCTGTAGACATTTGAAATTTGATATTACTTAACAGAATCCAGTTAAGCCAATTCTTCATAGGAAGTAAGTTTTTGGAGCAGATGTGATCTCCTTTGTCAAAAATAACATCCTTAAGAATTGTAAAAATGATGTGGGACAGGGCCACTTACTCATAAGCCTCAGGAAAGAATACCTGTAGAACCTAGTACCCTAAGACCAGATTGTGTGGTAAAGAAAGACCCCCCTCAAAACAAATAAGCAGTAAAAAAGAAAAAAAAGGACCCAATGACAATGAGAAGAGAAAGTTACCAGAAGGAACGTTGGATGGTTGGAGAGAAGGAAGAAGAAAAAGAATAAAAAGAAAGCAGGAAGGAAGAAAGAAGGGAAGGAGGAAAAGGTGAGAGAGGAAGAAGGAAAGAGAGAAGAGCTGGAGAAAATTACAACATTTTAAGAGTTAAAATCATGGTGTCTAAAAGATCACTCTTAAAGGCAACATCATATTACATAAAATTCTGGGAAACTTAAGATTGAATCAGTTTATAAAAGTGCCTGTGGGTTTAATTTTGCCAGTTTTTCTATTTGTTAAATAACCATTTAACATCAGTGTGGGTCAGCCCTGCTCACCATATCTAGCAACCTAGGAAATGGGCTTGTAGCTCAATTGTCAGAATGCTTACCCACCATACATGAAACCCTGGGTTGAATCCTTAGCACCAGGTAAAACCAGTTGTTGGGACACATGCCTATAATTGTAACACAATGGATGTAGAGGCAGGAGGATCAGTCAAGGTCTCCGTTAGTTATATAGACTAATCTGTAGAAGGGAGTCATGCAGAAGCAGCACACATGTTTGCAGAGTCTTACAAAACTGGGGAGTAGAGTCAGGCAGAGCTGTTTAAACAACAACAACAACACACACACACACACACACAAGCTGCCATGTCAGTTATGGCTGAGCTCTTGTTATGGGTACCTCTTGAACAGGTCCTTCTCTGTGCTTGTCTGAGGCATGCTGGATGTACACCACCTGTAGGTTCGGCACACCAGATCTCACTACCCCTTATGTAAGACAAATCAAATTCCTCACTACATATCTCTTTCATTTTCAGATATATCAATTGTATTGCTCCTTAAACCTAGGGAATCTGAAACTCAATAGTTTCTAAGTTTCAAAAAGTTTGAGACATAATAAAAATGTAGCAAAGATTCAACAAAACTTTTATTGTTTTAAGATAGGTGATAAATGAACTTGGTTTTGACTTTTGATTTATAGAAGACAGTATTCTCAGAGAGTGTATAATTTTGTTAGAATTCTATTGGTTTAGAAGCAACTAGAATTTTCAACTGAACATTAAGTTCCAGGGAATATTCGAGAGGTATCTCTGTTTATATTCAAAGGTGCACCTCTTGTGACAGTAAAACTCTCCTAAGATGTTTTATGAAATGCTCAGTTGCTAGAAACTGTTTTTCGAAACACTGGAACAAAGGCAATCATACTAAGACTCCCCTAGAAATGCATTTATCTGGGTTCTCGATCCCTGTGCACAGTAAAAAATCTAACAAATGAGAACCCAGCACCTCTCTGGAGTTGTTAAGGCCTTTAAGACCCTAGCCAATCTCAACAAGCCATTCCAATTGGCAGGGTATAGATATTCATATTCCTAGGGAAATCAACAGTACCTCTGATTCAAACATCTTATGTCACTGGCTGGATTTAGTATATAAAAGTGAAATAGCATTTTCCATTTTTAAAAAATATTCTTTCCAATATACCTCATTAAAAATAAACTGAGAGGGGGCTGGAGAGATGGCTCAGCGGTTAAGAGCACTGACTGTTCTTCCAGAGGTCCTGAGTTCAATTCCCAGCAACCACATGGTGGCTCACAACCACCTTGATGGAGATCTAGTACCCTCTGCTGGCCTGTAGTCAGAAGGCTGTATACACAATAAATAAATAAAATATTTAAAAAATAAATAAATAAACTGAGAGATGTGAGGAAATGGCTCAGTGGGTAGAGCACTTGCTGTGCAGTTGTAAGGTCCCGAGTTCAAATCCCTCAAGGACTCACTCAAAGCAGTCATGGTGGTATATGCCTGTAGTTACAACACCCCTACAGTACCGTGGAAGGCAGAGACGAGAAAATCCTCGGAAGCTTACAGGCCAATAGCCAGGTGTACACAGTTGGAAAGAAGAGGAGATGCTATCTCAAATAAGATGAAGGGCAAATACCAATACCAAGATTGTTCTCTGACTCCCCCACATGTGCATTATGACCCCCCAAAAGAATAATTTGGTAAGATAGATATTGTTTCACTTTATGAGATTTTTGTCTTCAAACAGCAAACTTAGTTTGATAAAGAAATTATTATCTATAACCTCATTCCATAGAATGTTCGCTTCTGTAGTCAAAGTATTTTTTTTCCTTTTAGAAGCAGTTTTGAATAGTGTACCATAGTACATGGAGTTTTATGATATTTCTAGTTAGTCCTGGCACACTCTTTTCCTAATCAGTCTTTATTTTTTTAAAAGTTGTACTATATATTTAGCATAAAAACTTATGTAAGCACAACTGGAAGTAGCTTGGCCTTAGCTATATACCCTGGCATGTTTTGGTAACACGCAGTATTAATACCCTGGCACAATAATAGCTTGTACACGCCCACATCCTGATGCCCTCATGATTTCATTTAAGTGGTCCCGCATGCCTGTTTTGTGATCTTTCCAAGCTTTCCAAGTCCACGGTCCATCAGCACATTTCCTTGCCACACCCATGCAGACGCAGCCCCCCTCCCCACCCTTCACCTATGCACATGGAACCAATTGCCAGAGAGCACGTTTCTCCCTGAGCGAGCAGTATTGTGAATTTTATCTTCTCTTCCAGAAATCAATTCGTCTTCGTTGCAACAGATGAAATTTCTTGTAACACCTCTGCAGGTAACAGACATTCCTACTTCCTGATGCTCCCATCTGAGTCCCAGTATCCTTTTTTTTTCTTTTCTTTTTATCTTCTTCACATGCTGCAGTTACTCACTAAAGTAAATTTAGTTTTTATAAAGAGAGAAAGGGACCATATACTTTTGAGTGTAGCTGAAGCTTTTAGGATCTACCATATGGAAAATAATGAGACATTTTGCTAACTCTGATGTTTTTGTTTCTGGTTTTAATAATACCTGGTTCAGAAGGCTAACACTTGTGGCGAACAAATTCATAACAAAATTCATGGAATAATCAGTATTCTTATTGTAAAATACTGACCAAGGGAGCTTAGGGACATGACATGATTCTGTGCTTTTGACATACTGTGTCTATGTTTAGAGAGGTTGAATTGGGAATTATTTGGGATCTTTGTAGAATATTACTGGCCATAAGAGACTGCATCCATGAAGCCAGTGACATTAGGAAATATAATTATATCTGTCTTATATGAAGGGGATCTTCCTTTCATTATCTAAAGATACTGTTTCCTTTCCTTCAACACATCTTCTCAAATACCAGGTCTTAAGGAAAGGAAGGTTTATTTTGCTATCAAACCCAGGAAATTGGTGAATAGATATTGCATGATATGTCCATCAAAATAATCCCTCTCATTTTGATTTGGTGTGGTTCAGAACAATTAAATTTGGAATTACTGGATTAAATGCCAAAATAATCCCGTAATGACTATTAGATCTCTCTCTCTCTCTCTCTCTCTCTCTCTCTCTCTCTCTCTCTCTCTCTCTCTCTCTCTGCTTTATTCTCTTCTCTTTCCTTTTTTCATATGTGTGTGGGGAGGGCTAAATCTAAACTACCTCAGATGATCACTAGGCAAGCTTGCCAATGGGATGCTTTTGACCAAGGAAAGTGGATGTAACAGCCATAACCAAGCATGTCCCATGATGTCTGAAATCAAACATACCATCCAGCCTTACACACAGAGCGTGCATCTGTTGCCAGTCACTTTTTATCAATGGAGTAGTAAGCAAAGGTGCCAATTACTAAGAATGTTTCAGGCCCTGTTCAGAGTCTTTGGAGAGAATGAATGAAAGGGAGGGCAGAGCTAGGACCATGCTTCTGGCAGGGCCACACAGGTCTCTGCATGTGGTTCATTTGTACAGGCATTCTCTGCCTTTTTTAATGGGGTTGTGGTTTTATTCCAAGAGTTACAGGAGCTCAGTTTGTAAAGCAACTGCTTATGCCATTTACATGAAGCTTCTCAGCTAATGTCCTTGCTCTCTCCTCCCCTTATCTCTATGCTCACATAGCTCTGCTTCTCCCAGTTAGAGGTGCTGCCAAAGCTCACACCACACTAATGCCTCACAGTGGAAGATGGCCTGTTAATAGCATGTCTGAGAGTGACAGGGTGAGAAATAGTTTTCTGGGACACTGGGATAACTTAACATTTCCAAAGTGGAGTGACGAAAAGAGATGGGATGGAAGAGAATGGAATGGGGAGGAATGGTGGTTTAGCGTGTGAGTGAGTGTTAACTGTGGATGAATGCCTGCCACAGACTCACTTGTCTTCCCTGTTAAACTTCACATGTGTTCAGTGTGTCTCAGTCTATATTTTGACACCATAGATTAAAACAAACGAAAACAAACAAACAACAAACAAACAGGAGACTGGTAATATCAAAGGTAGATATGGATCCCATCCCATGATCTGGCAACCCCTGTTATGTTAGCAAGTGGTCCTCAAGCAATCTTCTATAAAGAAGTAACTTGTAATGCTTGTATGAGCGCAGCCTAGTTCTCCCCTATCCTGTCTTCTCTAGGAGGACTGCTCCGTGAATTCTTAATGAATTGCTATGGATAACATTTCAAAGACACCACTGTTCCTCAGATGGCCATATTAATAATGTGTTGTGTGCTTCATATAGTCTAATTTAAACTGGAAGTTTTGAATCAAGGAGGAAATAAAGATACCCATATCAATCAGATCTCCTTGCAGCTCACCTGTTTCCCAAGCAGAGTCAAAATGAAAACTCAGAACTGCAACAAAATTAATATCTTCTAGGAGATCTTCCCTTGTAAGCTGCAAAATCTCAATGCACGTACATCCTACACAGCACACCTGTGAGGACCTCCACTCATTTACCAAAGTGGTATCATAGAGGGCAGACCTGTTACATCCTGGTATCTATCAACAACCACATTTCAATAGCAAGCCCTTTTCTTTCTCTTAAGAGGAGAAAATTATCAATGAACTGGGCTGAGGATGAGCTTGGTGGTAGAAAACATGCCTAGTAGGAATAAACCTCTAGGTTTGATCCCCTACATTGAATTAAAAAATATCAGTATCCTTAAAATCTTTGGAAGGCTTTGAAACGGCTTCCTGGATTTTATAAAAATTCTTAAAAGGATGCGTCTTGGGGATGGTTGCAAATTGTGGGAGATCTAAGCAGGCAGTTTGTTGGTGGCTTAGTGATGGTGAGATGATCAACACCAGCAGAGGCAGGCCATGATCTGTTGCTTGAGCTCACCAAAGCAAAGGGGGCATAGTTTGCAGAGAATGCCCTCATGTTGATTCTGTGTTTGCTAGTTGCGTAGGGTAGCTGACCATTCACATTTGTTGTCTGTGAGAATATATGTGGGAACAATTTTCATACTTGGTGACTTTTCCTCTGGATGGGGCTGCGCCTTTAATGACGGGGTGTAGGGCTAACTGTTGCATCTACCTAGCGTACTTGAAGCATCTGTTAACATATAACACCAAGAACATTCCATAGTTTGGGAGTCTGCAGAGATGTAAAGTATGAAGGGAATGGTTTTTCCTTCTGAGGAAACTCCTGCCTCTGTGAGTCACAAAAACATTTCCAGGATAAGCTAGTGACTGTAGCAGAACAATGTGGGTCTTATGTAAGAATGGAGGCTGAAAATCAAGTTACTTAATGGCTGGAATTCTTTCAGGTCTTTGTAGTTATGGAGCTGTTGTCACATTCTGGAAATACATCTAACTCCTAGGGTCACAGCATTAAAAAATTCAGAATGAGCCACTTGCAGACGAATTTCCATTCTAATGGAGAGCATACCCCAAATCATACAGATGAAAAAGCATAGGATATACCTGTATGTAAAGTTGGACCAGGGCCAACAAGATAGCCAGTGAATAAAGGTGCTTGTTTCAAACCTGATAATTTGAATTTGATTCCAGGATTCTATATGGTAGGAATAAACCATCTTCCCAAAGATGCCCTCTGAGCTCCACATGCCTGCCTTGGCACTTGCATACCAATACGTATACACACATGCATGCACACGGAGTAAAAGTTAAAATGCACTAAAAATAAATTTGAAAGATAGAGTTGCAACATTTCTAACTAATCAGAAAAACAGCAGGGGAGAGGGACTCCAAGGTGCCATGCAGCTTTAGTTTCTTTCATGATCAGAGACACTTTCTAGACTAGGGTGACACTGTGAAGACATCCAAATCTAATCAGGGAATGAACCAAGTGTTTCATTTGTGTTGCTGTGTTAAAAAAACAACCAACAAAAATCAACCTAGGGAAAGAGAGAGTCTATTCTGTTTGTGGTTCTAAATTACAATCCTTCACTTGGGAGATACCAAGGCAGGAACTCAACTATCCAGTCACATTACTCCATTGTCAAGGACAAGAAGAATACAAGGGATACATACTGCACTCTTGCTATGGTCCAGCTTGCTTCAATCCTGTGTAGGTCAGGACCCTCTGATCAGGAAGTGATACCACCCACAATGGGCTGGGTTAAAGCAGCGCCCACAAACATGCCCATAGGGTGCCCTGTTAAAGACAATCAACTGAGACTTGTTCCCTAGTCTAAATTGCAACAAGTTGACAGTTGAAACTAATCATTACACCAGATGATTTTGCAGCTGAGAGTTCATCAAGTTGAGCAGACAACCAGGGTAGAGGCCATGCAATTAGGCATGCTTACCATTTTCAGGAACAAAATGTACAGGGTGATCAGAGCAAGTGTGTATCTTAGAGCTATCAGGGAGTAGTAAGAGCTCAGAGAGGCAACTCAGACAAGTTACAACTGGAAGGCTGTGAAACCATCTGGCATCTTCCATAATCACTGGGGATTCATTTCGGTCTCATTATTTAACATAGGCAGTCAGAGATCTTGATAGAGAACAGAAAAGGTATGCGATAAGAACAGGAGAAAAAAGCCTCTACGGAGATTCTTGACAGTGTAGAAAGGGGTGGTGACAGCCTCCAGCGATGCTTGGCTGTGGGATTTAATGAATTTTTGTTTTTGAAAGTTTTTGAACAATGTTTGATAGGAGAATAAACAGGACATGCTGGTAGGGTTGGGAAGTACAAGAACAGTCCATATTAAATGGGGCTCCTGGGTTACAGTCACCTTTCCTATGGCTGTGACAAAATGCCTGCCAAAGCAACTTAAGGAAAGAGGGTTTTTGTTTTAGCTCCCAGCTGAAAGGCACCATCCACCATAGCGGGAAAGGCACAGTGGCAGAAGACTGAGGCAGTAGATCACATTGGATCTACAGTCAAGAAGTAGAGAGTAATGAAAGCTTTAAATTTTTTTTAATATCTTGGAGCCCATCCATGGGATGGTACCACCCCCATTCAATGTGGAACTTCCTTCCTTGAGTAAACCAATCTAGAATCTTCCTCATAGATGTGCCAGAAATTTGTCTCCGAGATAGTGCTAGACCTTGTCAACTTGACAATCACTACTGACCATCACAACCCTCTCTCTTCCTCTAGTGTGGTATGAGAGTCATTTCTGGATGTAGAGGGTTGCAGTAAGTCTTTTGCCCATGTAACAGCTGTGTCTCTTTCGTGGGCTCTACTGAATTCTTCAGGCTTCATCAATAACTTGCTATTATTGAGTAAGTTATCTGTGCTGGCATGTAATAAGTTATATATCTACTTATGTATGTGTATAGGGGCTAGAGAACTGGCTCAGTCAGTAAAGTTCTTGCTATATATCATGAAGACCTGCTTCCAAAC